AGCCCAAATCCTCTCTTGGCTCTTTCAATCACTTCTTCTGCTAACATCAATATGACCATGGGGTCTTGTCTGATGAATGGTCAAAGATTTTTTTAAATTCCTTATGCTGAGTGATATAATTGTTTGAAAGTGTTTGCATGCTAACTGGATTCTCTGCCTGGCTAGAAAACATAGTAAAGACGTGATTCTGGGAGGTGACTGAGCGGTTTCGGACACAACCTGCTCAATGGGGAATATCTCTCTTCAGTTCTCGCCACCTACTTATTTTAAGCAACGGGCTCTGTCAATCACCATCACGCCGCCAGTCAGAAGAGCGGAAATCTTTTCCAGCCACCTCCACTGAGCATCCCAGGATAGTTTCATTGGCCGGACAAGCCGCCAGTCAAGGGAGAGCCTCCTGTTATCCAAGGGGAGATGGGCGCCCTTGCTCTCCGGCTGGGCCTTTGGCCAGCACCCTCTCATTAGCACTCTGCATCAGCAAAATCTTTTACAAGGTTTTCCTAAACAAAACTCCACAAATCTGAAATATCCTTCAGGATGAGATGTAGTCATCAACAGGGGGAAAGACTGTTTTGTTACAAGGGGGGGGGGCCTACTGTGAGGACACGTAATATTAGCATTGACTCAAATGACACGCCCTGAACTCGAGGCTCCAGGTTGGCCCAATCTTGTTGGAGGCGGAACACGGTCGGCCCTGGTGAGTACGTGGAGGGGAGGCCACCCAGGAAGTCCAAGGCTGCATCGCAGAGGCAGGGAATGGCTGCACCACCTCTGGATGTCTCGTGCCCTGAAAACTCCAGGAGGGGTGGCCGTAAGTTCGTTGCGACTTGGCAGCACAAGCGATGCAGGTGGTCTCAGTGGGTGATCCTTGGCCGTATCTCAGTGGAGGAGGATCGGGATGGGGCGGGACAAGGAACAGGGCCAGGGCAAGGGATCTGGCCTCCCCAAAGCAAGGTACTCTGATTGCCGCCAGCAGGGGTGATTTCCTGCAGGAGCGCATGGGAGCGGAGCTCCGACAGTAAAGAGCCCAGGGGGCGGGCACATGCAACAAGCCCCACCCCCTGCTCCCAGCAGCCCTCGGCCAGAGCAAGAAGCAGTCAGGTAAGTTGCAGAGCCCCCCCCCGGCTCCCCGGTCCAAAACAGTCCAGTGGCACCTTTAAGACCAAGTTTTATTCAGGTACAAGCTCTCCATCCTCTGTGAGGACAGATCAACGCGTTCCCCCCCCCCATAGCTAGCAATCCAAAAGAGTCCAGTGGAGCCTGAGCGGTGGGTGTTGCCTTCTGACACACTTCCGGTGATGTCAGGGGGTGTGGCATATGCAAATGAGTTATGCTAATGAGTTATGCTAATGAGCTCCTGCACCTCTTTTTCTACGAAATGACTCCTGGCCGCCAGTATCCCTGCTGCTGCTGCTGGCAAGGTCCAAGCCATGCCCTTGTAGCAAGACTGCAGGGTCTTGGCTCTGCCCCAGCCAGTGGTGGCACACAACTGGAGAGGGTGCCAGTCACCTGCCATGCTGCTGACAGCTGGGAGCAAGTGGAGCTTCTGCTCTGGATCGGTGCCTTCCTCACCGTGCTGCTCAAAGCTCCCCTTGGGTGGCTCAGTCAGAGAACCGGCCTTGGCAAGGAATAGATTTGCAAAGAACTGGCTCGGTGAAACAGTGGGTTGTGGATAGGCATGAGACGGCTTATCCTCTTGGGAAACCAGGATCTTCCTTCCTAACGGAAGAGAACATGTGGAAAGCGGACAGCGAAGAACTCCCTTCCCTAGGAATGTGGGATTCCTAAAGGGGTGAAAAGGAAAATATATTGCTGGGGTGGGGGTGGGGGGACTGAGAGATATTTGTACTGATTAGTACCAGACAGACTTGAGGTTAATTAGGTCACAAAGGCAGGCGGCCGAAGTCACAAATGGTTCCCTGAGTAGTCTGAAAAATCCAACAGTGCTGCTTTGAGCAAGCGCCTCCCCCTTTTTCTCCTGCAACCAGATCGGCCTGATGTGGGGACACGGACCCCTTGGCCTTCTTTCCCCTTGAATTGCCCACTGGACCAGCCCTTCACAGTCGAGCAGCTCCATGTTTGCCAAAAGAAGACAAGCGAGTGTGCCAAAGCATCAGTCACATTTCCAGTCAAGATGCCTGATGCTCTTGAAATGGGGCATTTCCTGCTCTTTTGGACTAAGAAAGCACTAGAAAGGTCGTCACACAAATGGGCTTCTATGAAGAGTTGCTTCCACTGAGTAGAGATTGTCAGCACAACCCAACTCAGGTTAGGTGCTTGCAAGTCCCTTACAAGAAGGAGGCTTGGCACCTGCGTAGCTCTCTCGGTGCAATCAGATATGCCATGAAGCACTTGGTTTGGGCGGGACTGTGCCCTGCGTATGTATTTAAGATATCAACGTAATTGGGAGAACGATAATTAAATTAAGGGGGGAAGGGAAAGGAGAGACAGAATTAGTAGTAAATAAAATGCAAGTCATATATATGTATATATAGATGGACAGATATATCAGGCAATCCTTCTGCTGGTTAAAAAAATATGAGCAAAATCAGAACTGCCCCTTTGGGGATGGCTGGGCGTGTGTGTCGGTGCCCTTGTCTTTGGGAGGAGCTGTCCTGATTGGTCTCAAAGAAGTCCATCACAGATCCCTTAGGAAAGGGTCTGAGGAGTGGTCACAGAAAAAGGGCACCCCCCCGGGAGTGGGGCTATACTTTCCAACCTCCCAGAAAGACGGGGGACATTGGGCAAGGCTCCCCGGTGGGGAAATCTGGGGTCAAGACCTATCCTCATGCTTCAAGGCATCTCCCGTGCCTTTCTAGTGAGCTGAGCGTTGGGACTATTGTCCACATATGATGACAGAGGAAATCTGGGGCCCAGACCTATCCTCCTGCTTCAAGGCATCTCTCCTTTCTTCCCTTCTTCCCTTTCCAGTGAGCTCAGTGCGGGGCCTACCATCCACATCTGCACAGTAGTAAAAGAAATAAGCGACATGTCTGGCCTAGCTGCTGATGACGTGGGCACGGCAAGGAATAACAGCTCTACTGGGGGCGAGGGAAGCAAGGAGGCCCTTCTGCAGGCCCTGAGGCCTGTTAGGAGATTCTGTTTCATCAGAATTTGGTTTCAGGATTGTTGCCTTGGGCCAGAGGGATTAGGGTACCACTGCGGCTTTTACTGCAGCGGGGGGATCCAAACTCGCCCGGCAGGAAGCCAGCACTGCCTCCTTCTCTGGACCGCAAGCAATGCCTGGCTCTCTCCCGGGGCCTCTGCCAGGATTTACCCATCAGAGCAGTATGGCTGCCTCTCCTGTAACATTCACATCCCCCCTGGTATGCTTGCAAAGCTAATGTGCGTCTCCACAGCAAGGAGCAGAGGGCAGAAGTTTCTGAAGCACTCACACACAGCCATACAGCACCTCTGACCCGCAGAAGGGCCTGGGTTAGAATATACATGCCTGAATACAGCAACCGCCAGAGACACTGGGCTCCGGTCGGCAGGCAATAACTATCGGCTTGGCCTACGGTTGTGCTTTTAGCTGCCATCTGACCAGCAGCAACCAGCAGATGAACCTTTTCACAGCAGTAAATGAGGGTTCCAGCGAATGGCCTGCAGGTTGAACTGCAGTTCCAGGCACAAAGGTGGCAGCCCCTTCAAATGCTGGCCACGCAAATGGCTCTCCTGACCCCCTTTCATTTGCTAGCTGCCTCTGCAAACTCTTTGCAAGTAAAGGCACTGAAAGAGGTACTGGAGATGGGGGAAACTGGCCAACAGTAGCAACATTTCCTATTTTCTCTTGCATAGGAGAGGATACATTTCCACACTTAAAAACTTCTAAATCCTTCCTGGCCCCATCACAAGCTTGCTGCAAATTACTTTTCACAAGCAAATGTTTCCATACACTCCAGTCTTCATAAGTTAAAAAGGTAAGGCACAATATCAAAAGCTGAATTCACAGCAAAAACATCTTAGGCTACTAAAGCAAGAGTTAATGGAGCAGGTTATTCATGAATGTGAAACGCGAAGTGCTTTTACAGCGACCATCTCCTGTCCTATCTGTAGCTTATCTAAGCAGAGACATACATAAATTTATACACGGTTAACTGAGGCTCACTGGGTATTTTAAGGACATAAAAAGACAAGATGATTCCATTTTCTTCAACATTAGTCAATAAGCCAGAATATGGAAGCAGATGGCCCGTTCTGAAGCTTCTCTGCCCGGTTTCGTGGGGTCCCGAGTCTGCCCTCCGACTGCCTTCCCCCCCCACACACACGGCTCTCCCGGATGCTTCTCCCAGCCTCCTCCTGACCTCTTTGGAGCGAGTGCGTCATCATCATTACCTTATATCCATCCCATTCTTTCATCCATATTTAAAAGTCCTTTCTCTCTTAGCTGAATAACAAGAGTGGCTCCTGTCGGTTTCCAAGACTACTTTCTTTCTTTCTAAACAAGGCATTTGAAATGACTTTCTGTAGAGAAAGGCATAGCTGGGGCATATCTGCAGGGCATGCTGGGAACTGGGTTCATAGCTGTTCTGTATTCCGGAGGGGTGCCCGGGACCGGTAAGCAAATCCGGAGTGCTTTTCAACAGAGGCCCAGGATTCTTCGGGGGATGCCCTGCGAGTCGCGTGAACCGGTGCAGAATGGACAGAAGGCGTGTCGGGTGGATTCCTCCCCACCGGGCCTTTCGCTGGGAGGCAGAGGGAGGGAGAGGCAGGATTCCCCCTGGATGAGCAGAGGGGTTTCATTCCCCCACAGCTTCATTTTGCGGCTCCCGATCTCCAGCAAAAATCAACCATGCTTATTGCCATAAAACACATATGGGCAAAAAAGATTCCGGTGGACTGAATCCAGTTCTTCAATTCATTCCATTTTCAGTAATCATAGCTGGTAGCAAAAGTCAAGTTAAAAAACAAATCTTCCTTTTACCCCGAATTGGAAAGGCAATCCCTGAAGAATAACTCCTGCTGGGTGTCCCCCCCCCCTTTTCTTCTCAAACGGCGTTCTCAGTGAGTTCTGGCCCTGCAGCGCTTTCCTCTGGGGCCTTCCATCGATGCCAGCGGTTCCAAGAGCAGAAGGCTCCTGGTGGTGGGGAACTGGGCCCCCATTAGCGGAACGGAAGGGCAGGCTCTAACCTGCGACGTACATTGCAAAGCTTGGGCAGAGACGCAGGATAAAGACTGTGTCTGTGTAATTGCAGCCCCTAATTTTTCCTTAAAAAAAAAATTCTGCGGCATGGAAAGTTACAAGTCATACTCCAGCTGGCTGCTCCTAGAGGATTTCCGTTTGTGTTGGGGATTCTGGACACAGGGCGGACGAACCAGGACACTGTGTGGCTGCTCTGCCCCTTGAGGACTAGTTCCTCCCTGCAGGAAGCAGAAACGGGAGGCAGCAAGAGTGCTGCATGGCAAAGGAGAGGCGAGGAGGCAGGCCAGCTAGACGGAAGGGGCAGCGGGATACTGAACAACGGAGTTGTAGTCTGGAGGGGGGCTATGGCACTCCAGGTTCGGATCCAGGGGCAGGAGGATGGAGTCTTCCAGGGGGTCCTCGTCTACCTGCGTGGCCGACTGGTACTTCACAAATCCGCGCTCGTTCTCGGATAACACAGACTCCTTGCTCTTGTTGATCGCTTTTCTCCTAGCGGGGGAGAAAATGAGGACAAAATGTTAATACAGACTGCCCTCTTATAGCGTATCATGAATCTGCCCCAAATGTTCCATATCCCATAGCGCGTGCCAGATCAGAAACTCCACAAAAGGAAGCCACCGGGTTAAACTGCTTTATTTTAAGCCGCTGAAACGTTGGAAGAACTTGGCCCCCCGTCAAGAGGGACACAACTGATCCACAGGCAGGAGGAGGCACCTGATACCGAGCCAGGTATATGGGTCTGCCCAGCAGCACGGGGCTCAATGACCAAGCACAGGTCTGGGAAGGCTCAGAGATACCGCAAAGCTGCTGAATCCGGCAACCAGCCAGCCCTTTCGGAGCTGAATTTTTGTCCTCCGTGACCAGAGGAAGAGATTAGAGGGGATTTGCTTCCGCGTCTCTGCCACGGGCTGCTTCCCAATCTCCGCTTGTGTTAAATTCTCCCTGCAGAACAGTCACTCTTCTCTGCTGTCTGCGCATGTGTCCCCCCCCCCTTTATTTCTGAATAACTTTGATTTGGGACAGAGGAATCTACGACTCCTTTGCTAATTGGCCAGGGCCTTTAGTGGTCAGTGGGGCTGGGAAAATGTCTGTGCAGCACATGGCCCTGAGCTTGCACAAGAAGAAGAGGAGGAGGAGGAAGAGATTGGATTTATACCCCACCCTTCACTCAGAGTCTCAGAGCGGCTTACAAGCTCCTCTACCTTCCCCTCCCCACAACAGACAGACACCCTGTGAGGGAGGTGGGGGCTGAGAGAGCTCTGACAGAAACTGCTCTTTTTCAAGAACAGCTCTGACAGGACCATGGGTTGCAGGACCAGAGAAAAGAGCTGCGTCGAGGCTGAGGCTGCTGCTTTGTTTGTAACCAAAAAGGTGCCGGCACTCACACAGAACAAGGCGGCACCCACTTCCACCAGTGCCCCCCTCAAGACTTGGGAGACCCCCGAACAAAGGTGCTGGCACTCCGTGAGCGGTGGCTGCCATCACGAAAGGAAGCCCCAGCTGAGTCTAGCTGCGCAAGCGGTCCCTCTGAGCCGTGGTCTTCACAGGGAGAATCCCGCTGGTGACTCTAGCCAGCCATCTGCAACTGGGGATGACCACGGGCTACGTCTTTCTGTATTTAAAAGGTTTATCAGCGGCCCCTTTCTTCCAGTTTGGTGTAGCCAGTTTGGCGTAGTGGTTAGGAGCGCAGATTCTAATCTGGGAGAACCGGGTTTGATTCCCCACTCCACCACTTGCACCTGCTGATGTGACCTTGGGCAAGCCGTAGTTCTGTCAGAGCTGTCCTTGAAAAAGAGCAGTTTCTGTCAAGAGCTCTCTCGGCCCCGCCTACCTCACAGGGTGTCTGTTGTGGGGAGGGGAAGGAAAGGGAGTTTGTAAGCCGCTCTGAGACTCCTTCGAGTAGTGAAGGGCGGGGTAGAAATCCAGTCTCTTCCCTTCTCTTCCTTAAGGAGCTCAAGGCAGCTTAGAATACAGGTATAAGATACATAAAACAGAATATATAAAGTACATAAAAACCAAACTTTAACATCACAATTTAGGACTGCTAGTAAACTTTAATAAAACATGGTCCTAAATAAAACTATCTTCAACTGCCTCCTGAAGACCGAAAGTGAGGGGGGCCGGGGCACCTCCCTGGCGAGGCTGTTCCATAACCGTGGGGGGCTGTCACCAAAAAGGCCCCCTCTCTCGTGTGCCCGCCAAATGCCCAGCGCCTAAATCCAAGCGAGGTTTAAAAAGAGCCTCTTCAACAACACTATTTAACATCTGCTCCTAAGCCAGAGAGAGGGGACGTTGGCTCAGAAGCATGTTTTATGATCGACCGTCTCCGACTGATTAAAAACACAATTTATCTTCCCAGAAAACTTTCCTCTCGCCCAAGCCGCGTAGCCAGGAATTAAAGCGGAGCCACAGAATTTGCTCTCCTGCCCCTTCCCCCAGTCTGTGGTGTTTACGGACATTTCATTCCCCCCTTCCTTTGCCTAGCGACCGACCTATGAGCAGGTCTGACTTCAGACGTTCCCCAGCTGAGCTCCGCCACAGGAACCTCTGGGCTGGGACTTGGCCCGCAGTGACAGCGACAGGCATGGGCTTGCTGCCCACCCCACGGGCCCATTCCGCTGACAAGCGCCTGCCGCTCTGATGAACAAGTCTCATGACGGATCAGAAGAGCTCAGACCGGCACCTGCCCTTGGCTTCCACGGACACTTCCAGACAATTGTGCCAGGCAGCAAATGAAGGGAAAACCTGGCCCGAGTCCTGCCGTTATCTAGCAGGATGTGCCATGGCTATCCATCTGCCCCACATTCCCCAACTGGGGGGGGGGGTAGTGATGGAAGGCACGCCTACTGTCCCCACTGGAAACAAAGGGCTGGAAAGGGGGTCTCTGCCAGAGGCCTCGTGTTCCTCTGGTGCCTTTGAACTGGCTCAGTTACAGCCTCCACCTCTGAACTCTGTCGTTTGCCATCAGAAATTGTGGCAAGTGACGGTTGCATCCCACAAGGAACATCTAACTGCCGGCGGCTGTAAACACTGGGAAAGCACCTCTTAATATCGGCAGAAGGTGTTCCTTAAGGGGGGGGAGATTATCTAAATGCATTTTTGTGACAGAAGACCCCCCCTCTCCTTAAGACAATTGGGTTGCCGGCTCCTGCTTGGGAAATACCTGGAGATTTTTGGGGTGGGGCCTGGGAAGGCCAGGGTTTGAAGAGGGGATGGACCTCAGCGGGGTATAATCCCACAGAGTTCACCCTCCAAAGCAGCCATTCTTTCCAGGAGGCCTGATCTCCACCATCTAGGGATTAACTGTAATTCTAAGAGATCTCCAGGGTCCACCTGGAGGTTGGCACCCCTGCAAGAGGGCCTAAAGTGTGTTCATCCCTACAAGATATTATGAGCCTGAAACTTGCCACTGGAAGTCTCAAGAATGTCCTGCTGATTGCTGACTGAGAATGAAGACTGAATAGACATCTGACAAACACCTGCAACTCTGATGAACGAGAAGACCAGCCTAATAACTGATAAGAAGAACTCAGACTGGCATGTTGTTCTGTGATCTTAGGGAGATGTTAAGGGTTTGGGTTTTTTGCAATCCCCTGGGTGCCAAAGGAGACAATGAATTAGGGAACAATGAAGTCCATGCCTCCGTCTCCACCTCCGGCCTCCACCACCATCTTGGTACCAGCCCTGCACCTGTGACGTGCCAGCAAGGTACCACCCCAGCCTGACAGAAATGTAGAGAAGTCCATGATGGAGATGGGCTAGGAAACAGGTTTGCTTTTTAAACAACTTCTCTTTTGAGGCCAGACGTCGCCTTTCGGCTCAAGGTCCTCATGCTCTGAGGATGCCCTGAGGCCTCCAAGGGCCTATCCTCACTCTGCCCTCCCCTCCTCCTACCTCCCAGGAATTTCATAGAACCATGGAGTTGGAAGGGACCTCCAGCATCATCTAGTCCAGGAAATACACAAATACCTTCCCCTCCACAACACCCCCAGTGACCCCTGAGGCTCCACACCCAGAAGATGACAAAAAACCCTCCAGGATCCTTGGCCAAACTGGCCTGGAGAAAAATGGCTTCCTGACCCCAGGGTCCACCTGGAGGTTGGCACCCCTGCAAGAAGATTGAGAGGCCCTCAGCCCTGTGAGAGTCATGTCTCTTGAGTCTTCCTGGACCCTCGGATAGGTGGCAGGGTGGCAATTAATAGTTTAGCATTTGGACCGGCTAATATGCATTATGTTTGCTCTCAGGTTTTCAACTTGTTTCGAGTGTGCTGAAAATGCTTTTTCTTATGTTTTCCTGTATCATGCATCTGATTCAGTCTGTGATTTGCTTTGGTAGTGTCGTATGCAGTAATGCCTTCCAATAAACTGTCTAATTGGTTATCAGTAACACTTTGGAGTCTGCGTCTTCCTACTCGCAATTGTGTAACCCACTGAGGTGATCAGAATCTGTAAAAAAGAGAGGCCTCTTTAAAAAAGGTAAAGGTTTCCCTTGGTCGAAAGCCAGTCGAATCCGACTCTAAGGGGTGGTGCTCATCTCCGTTTCCAAGCCGAAGAGCCAGCACTGTCTGAAGACATTTCCGTGGTCATGTGGCCAGCATGACTAAATGTCAAGGCACACGGAACGCTGTTCCCCTCACACCGAAGCGGTACCTATTTATCTACTTGCAATTTCTTGCTTTCGAACTGCTAGGTTGGCAGGAGCTGGGGCCAGAGACAGGAGCTCACTCCGTCACACGGCACTCGGATCTCGAACTGCTGAACTACAGACCTTCCAGTCTGCAGCTCAGTGTCTTAACCTCTGAGCCATCATGGTCCTCTCCTTCTTAAAGGGGACCAAATTAACACCTTGGAGAGCCACATCCATCAGCTTCTATGGGCCGTGCAGACCAACTCCAGTTTCACCACGTGCTTCTGACTTTACAACCTTCTCTTATATTCCTGCTTGTGTGTGTGTGTGTGTTTTTTTAAACCGCAGCAGCCAGTGAACAACTTGTAAAATATACCCAGATCCTCTAGGAAGTGGAAGGCTACATACAGTAGATTCCTAAAACATCTGTATATAGCCAGAGTTAAACCTAGCAACAACAAACCCATTTTAAGCATAAATTCCTTGCATGCTGGGGGAATCAGAGGCTAATCCAGGCGGCAGGCCACCACTGGCTTCCGATGCTGAATGAGGACACAGCAGGCTGTTGGTGGCGCCGGTCCAGTCAAGTCTTTCCACTAACAGCCAGCTGTGCTTGTCAGAGCCGACAGCAGATGTTATTCGAAACTGCTAACAGTTCCTTTGATGCTTTAAAGCATCCTCTGTTCTCTGAGCGGCCTCAGTCCAGGTGAGATAAACTGGCTAAGCTGACCTGTCCTTTCTACCAGCTTTTGCCTCCACTTTTGCTCTGCAGCGGTGGCATCGGGATGCACATCGGTCGGCACAACAGGCTCGGAAAAAGTGGACAGAACACAAGTGTTCCTCCGCATTCCTCTCTGTTCCG